TCTATCTCTATCCATATCTATCTCTATATCTATCTCTATCTCTATCTATCTCACTCAATCTATCTATCTCTATCTCTATCTATCTCTATCTATCTCTGTCTATCTCTATCTATCTCTATCTCTCTCTATCTCTCTATCTCTCTATCTATCTACCTATCTATCTATCTATCTATCTATCTCTATCTATCTAAGCCTTTGGGGTCAAGGCAGCTGTCCTGACATGGACGGACTTGTCCCCGGACTTCGTCATGGAGGCTGCGGCCCAGCATAGCAGATTCTACCGCGGGTCTGGGCTCCCACTCCTGCTTTCGTGGCTCTCGCTGGCTTGCAAGCACCTCCATCCGGTGGACTTTACCTACCTGATCTTCGAGCTGAGCTTGACCTCCCGGCCCCAATTCCGGGCATCCTGCAACGAGACTCAGATTTGATAACAAGAGCTTTCGCAGGATGGAAGGGAAGGGTTGGGGACCAGTTTTTTCGATCACGTCATTAGCGCTCCTTCCAAATTTTGTGGCTTAGGGTTACCCGCGTCCTCCGGGACACCCAATTCAACAAACAATATCAAGACGGCAAAGCGCAGCTACAAACAACTTGCAGCCAGACTTCGGAAAGACGGATTTGCCGTCTACCGTGGACTTGTCCATCACAGTGTGCCGCAAGATAAACAAAGCCCTGCACTGGTCTCACCTCCATGGCATGCAGCACCACCTCGAAGGAGACGTCCACGTGCCTCCGTGTTCAGTTGGAATTGCTGCGCCCTTACTGGAGGTGACTATGCTGAGCTGCTCTGGTGGGTCACGAAGCATGACTTTGATATTGTACATTGTACTTCTTCAGTCAGCCCGCTGGAGTGCCCATGAGCCTTGGGTCACCGGGGAGGAGGGCTGTTGACCCTGATAAAGGCAAGCTTTTGCCATATGAACAACAGCAGCATGAGAGACATCATACCTGGAAGGATACATCACACCCGCTGCTATACGAGCAATGGCACCATTGATGTCATCAATGCCTATCAATTTCCAACGGGCATTACCAAACTCCGTAAACAATCCGATGGCCTCTAGGCAAAAATTCGGGCCCGCGGCCCAACTAGACAGTTTGTTGAGATCCCTGCCTTTTCGCAACTGCATGGTGCTGGACGGAGACCTGAACACTACACTGACCACTAGGAGCTCGACGACGACAGATCAACCTGCCTTCCTCGATTTGATGCAGGTTCACGGATTGCCTCTCTACGAGCTCATGACAAAGAATACAGCTTCGTGGGACCAAGAGGTCGCAGCAACATTGACTTCTTGCTCATGCGGAGACCTCAGACCGACGAACTGTCCTTAGGGAGTACCCTGATCATAGACCACTTAAGGTGTGGACGCACAATGTCACTCACAATCGTCCCAGGTTTGCGCATTTTTCGACCCACATCCTTATGCAGGAGCGCCAGAACCAGACTGACAATTGGACTTGACTGGTCCAGCTCAGAGGAGACGATCCAACAGGCTGGCGCACTCGACTTCGATCAACCAACTTGATAAAATCTCCAGCGTATGGATCAAACCGCAAGGTTCCACTGTGGGTTGAGCCTCGGACCTTTTCCTTAGTCGCCACAAAATGGCGCCATCTTCAAGAGGCCAGGACTTGTTCGTGCAACACACCCACTCTTGGACAGATTTTTCATTGCTGGTTCCACTATAGCAAACATCGACAAGTACATCTGCAGTTGAAGCAATACAGCAAGACTAAATGGAAAGAACGAATTGTTGAGGTCACAGAACGAGCTTGTAAGGCCGCTTCCCAAACATGACTCTCGAGGACTTTATGAGGCCATCAGAACCTTGACTCCCAAGCTCGCCAGGAAACCAATCCTTTTTATGGCCAGGGCAATCTTCTTGATCCAACTGAAGAATTATGACTTCTTGCAGACCACTTCCGGGCCATTTTTCAGGCTGCTTCAATCAGTGAACTGGACTTTCACGCACCGCCCTTGATCCTCACCCAAGAAGAAATAGAACGGCAACTCCTTGAGATCAAAGACAACAAAGCAGTTGCTCCCAACTCTATCCCGGTGGTCTCGGTGAAAGCGCTCGCAGGCCCATTGGCCACATGGATCCATCAATTCCGGGACCAGAAATGGCGGACCAATCCCCAGATTCCGCAATGTTGGAAAGATGCCAGCCTAACGTTGTTGCCAAAAAGACAAGTCAAGCAGCCTACAGATCTTTGTCCAATAGCGCTCACAGAATTAGTGGGAAAAGCGATTTTGGGCGGCTACACAAAGCGCGCCAAGGCTGCCATGCTCCCCACGCTGGTGACCATGCCACTTCTTGTCAGAGGAGTGGCGGAGGCCCTGGTTACAGTCTTCGATTTTTGTGCAGACATACGTGAACAATGTGCCAAGCATGCTGCAAGTCCCTGCTAGACCTCAAGAAAGCCTTCGACAGACTTCCTCGAGATGAACTTGTACAGGAACTCAGAGCTCGCAGCTGCCCTGAAAACGTCACCACAGTAGGTTGACAGATGCAAGGTATGCCATCCAACATCGAGGACTTCACACCTGGCTCGTGCGGCAGGGATGCAAGGCTTCACCAATAGAATGGACTGCCTTCTTGGCTTTTGGACCACTAGCGCTGAGCGTTTAAACCGACGCATGTCCAAACGACGCAAGACCCATCATCTCTATGAGCGGCTTGAACCACTTCGAGACGCAAAAGAAGGGAGACCTGAATGATTGCAGCAAACGGCTTGCCACTTGGGGAGGTTTTGGGACTCAAATTCGACGGGGTCACTGTTCTGCCTCCATGCACATTGACTGGCAGGTACCCTATGCTGATCGTGAAGAGTTCAGGGGCGGACGCTTTCCTGCTGTTCCTCCAATTTGCTCCAGCGGGCATTGTCCCGACTCTACTGAAGAAGTCGCAGGATTGGAAGGCAGCAACGGAAGCCAAGACAGCCGCACAGGCCTGAAGCACCTGCTCTTAGTCTTCCAGACCATCGTTCAGACCATCCAGGATCGATTCCTACGCATTGCTCAGGCCTTTGGCGGGCTCGGACATTTGGAACCAAGCCACGGCCCATCTGGTCATTACGGAGAGCGGCTCATGGCCCTACTTAGCATGGAACCCCAAGGAAAAACGGATGATGGCCACGGACAAGGCCCCCATCACCATGCAGAGCATGGAGTCAGTGATCGAAGAGCTGGTGGAACTGGCCTCACAGCCCGAGACGATTCTGAGACTGAAATGCGAGAGAAGAAGGATGGCAACAGATCCCCTGTCAGCCCTTGGCTGATCCAGCTCAATCCACGGAAGGAGAGGATCTACGAGATTCATTCTGCGCTTGCTCACAACCTCCTCGGTCTGGGTGCTGGTGGTGGGTCGCCTTCGACTGGCCTCCCAATTCATCAAGACGCGCAGCAGCGTGTCCAAAAAGAAGCGCTCGCTGGTTGGCTGACCTCCCTGCGCTTGGCCAATGAGGGCAACTGCTGCTATCAGAACTCAGTCACCCTGACCTTTCTGTGATGCCCGACTCAGACGAAGAACGCGGTCTGGCAAGAATTTGGCATACTTTGGCCAGCTGTTTAGGCATGAAAGCTTTTGGGTCTCCCTGAAGCGGCTAGCGAACCTGAGGCCATTTCTTGAGACATGGGGCAGCAGGAGGCTGCAGAATTCCTAGGCCTTTCTGCAATGGGTTCGTCCTGAGTGTTTGAACACGCACTGGAAAAGAAGAGCGCAGGTGGCCTCATGCATTTGTGTTGCAGACGAAGGCTCGCAGTACACACCTCCCACAGTGTATGTGGCTACAGCCACCGCCAAAAGCATTGGACTCCAAAAGCTCATTGACAACTGGACCTCCTACTCGGGCATGAGCGCGGCGTTCACACACAGCAGTAAGTTGGTGACCATACACATCGATCGCTTCACTGCTGACGACTCAGGCCAGATCCAGGAGCAGGGTTGGGAGCTCACTTTGCCGGATGTGGTCTTCCTTCTTGTGCAGGCAGAGGACTCGTTGGCCACCATTGCCATTCCTTATGCAGTGGCAGGAGGCCTGCTTCACCGAGGCGACGACGCCTCAGGAGACATCGCACTGCTGAGGGATGGTATCTCTTCGATGATCAGACCGAGGCCAAGTTCTTCAAGGACCC